TTGCCTAAATTGATAGTTTTGATCCTCGTCGAGATACATGCCTGAATTTTTTGTAGATTTTTAAACAATTTTTCCAGTCTCAAATTTCCAAAAATTTCCCTTTATGAAAATTTTGATTTTTTTCGATCACTCCCTAAAATTACTTAAATAAATATTTTGGTAAATTTCTAACTCCGGAAGTGAATTTTGGCTTCAGTTCTTCGAAAATTCCTACAACTTTTCCAAAATCGCCAAATGAGATATGGCAATTTTTAGAATTTTTGAAAAATTTCGAAAATCCTGGTCCTTGAGCACAAACACGCTATATTAATAAGAATCGGCATGTCGAGATTTCTGTCTGATTTTTTTGTGGATTTTTAGACATTTTTTCCCAAATTTCAATTTTTTGATAATCAGAATTTTTGATACCGTATATTTCGAAAATCTTGGTCTTGGACCTATATCTATCACATAACACGCTATATTTTTTTAATCAGGACGTCGGACTGAAATTTTTGTGGATTTTTAGACAATTTTTCCAAACTATAAATTTTTCAAAAATTCCCCTTTATGAAATTTTTGGCCGTTTTTTCACCAGCTTTCGAAAATTTCCTAAATGAATATTTTAATAGAGTTCTAACTATAGAAGTGATTTTCGGTTTCAATCCTCCGCAAATTTCTACACTTTTTTCAGAATCTCTTAAAATGTAGAAAATTTTAGTTTTTGAAAAATTTGAATCTAAAAACGAATATTTATAAAATCTTGGTCCTGGACCACAAACACCCTACATTTTCAGAATCAGCACATTGAGAACTATATCTCCGAATTTTTTTGTGGAATTTTAGATAATTTTTCAAAAGTCCCAATTTTTCAAAATTTCCCTTCCTTTCTTTCCTTCAAAATTTTTGACCTTTTCTCCCCAGCTTTCGAAAATTACCTAAATTGATATTTTAAACATGTATTTCAAACTCCAGAAGTGATTTTCGACTTCAATTCTTCAAAAATTCCTACCATTTTCCCAAAATAGCCAAATGTAATATGGCAATTTTTAGGATTTTTGGAAAATTTGGTGAGACGGAATATTTGGAAAATCTTGGTCTTGGACCACAAACACGCTATATATTTAGAATCAGAACGTCGGGCTCTATGTACATATCTGAATTTTTTGTGGATTTTTAGACAATTTTTCCAAGGTCTAAATTTTTCAAAAATTTCCCTTTACGAAATTCACTTTTTTCGCCAGCTTTCGAAAATTTCCAAAATAGATATTCGAAATGGATTTCTAACTCAGAAAGTGATTTTCGGCTTCAGAATCGCCAAATGAAATAAGGCGATTTTTAGAATTTTTACAAAATTTGAATTTAAATATTTCGAAAATTTTGATCTTGGACCACAAACACGCCATATATTTTTGAACCACCACGTCGAGATCTACATCCCTGAATTTTTTGTGGATTTTTAGACAATTTTTCCAAAGTCTCAAATTTCCAAAAATTCCCTTTTATGAAATTTTTGACTTTTTTCTCCCACTTCGGAAAATTAACTAAATAGATATTTTAATAGATTTCTATCTCCTGAACCGTTTTTCGGCTTGAGTTCTTGGAAAATTCTTACTATTTTCCCAGAAACGCCAAAAGAAAGTATGACAATTTTTTGGAATTTAAAAAAAAATTGAATTTGAATACATATTTCGAAAATTCTGACTCTAGACCACAAATGCGCTATATATTTTTGAATGACAAGGTCGAGATCTACATCCCCCAATTTTTTGTAAATTTTTAGACAATTTTTCCAAAGTCTCAAATTTCCAAAAATTCCCCTTTATGAAATTTTTTACTTTTTTCGCTCACTTCCGAAAATTAACTAAATAGATATTTTAATAGATTTCTATCTCCTGAAGCGTTTTTCGGCTTGTGTTCTTCGAAAATTCTTACCATTTTCCCAGAAACGCCAAAAGAAAGTATGACAATTTTTTGAATTTAAAAAAAAAAATGAATTTGAATACATATTTCGAAAATTTTGACTCTGGACCACAAATACGCTATATATTTTTGAATCACCAGGTCGAGATCTACATCCCCCAATTTTTTGTAGATTTTTAGACAATTTTTCCAAAGTCTCAAATTTCCAAAAATTCCCCTTTATGAAATTTTTGACTCTTTTCGCCCACTTCCGAAAATTAACTAAATAGATTTCTATCTCCTTGAAGCGTTTTTGGCTTCAGTTCTTCGAAAATTCTTACGTTTTTTCGAGAAACGCCAAAAGAAAGTATTGCAATTTTTAGAATTTTTGAAAAATTGGAATTTGAATATTTCGAAAATTTTTATCTTGGACCACAAACACGCTAATTATTTTTGAATCACTACGTCGAGATCTACATCCCTGAATTTTTTGTGGATTTTCAGAAAATTTTTCCAAAGACTCTAATTTCCAAAAATTCTCTTTTATGAAATTTTTGACTTTATTCAACCACTTTCGAAAATGACCTAAATAGATATTTTAATAGATTTCTTTCTCCTGAAGCGCTTTCTGGTTTCAGTTTTTCGAAAATTCTTACGATTTTTCGAGAAACGCCAAAAGAAAGTATCGCAATTTTTAGAATTTTTGAAAAATTGGAATTTGAATATTTCGAAAATTTTTATCATGGACCACAAACACGCTAATTATTTTTGAATCGCTACGTCGACATCTACATCCCTGAATTTTTTGTGGATTTTCAGAAAATTTTTCCAAAGACTGCAATTTCCAAAAATTCTCCTTTATGAAATTTTTGACTTTATTCGACCACTTCCTAAAATTACCTAAATAGATATTTTAATAAATTTCTTTCTCCTGAAGCGCTTTCTGGCTTCAGTTTTTCGAAAATTCTTACGATTTTTCGAGAAACGCCAAAAGAAAGTATTACAATTTTTAGAATTTTTGAAAAATTGGAATTTGAATATTTAGAAAATTTTTATCCTGGACCACAAACACGCTAATTATTATTTTTGAATCACTACGTCAAGATCTACATCCCTGAATTTTTGTGGATTTTCAGAAAATTTTTCCAAAGACTCTAATTTCCAAAAATTCTCCTTTATAAAATTTTTGACTTTATTCGACCACTTTCGAAAATTACCTAAATAGATATTTTAATAGATTTCTTTCTCCTGAAGCGCTTTCTGGCTTCAGTTTTTCGAAAATTCTTACGATTTTTTGAGAAACGCAAAAAGAAAGTATTTAAATTTTTTAGAATTTTTGAAAAATTGGAATTTGAATATTTCGAAAATTTTTATCCTGGACCACAAACACGCTAATTATTTTTGAATCACTACGTCGACATCTACATCCCTGAATTTTTTGTGGATTTTCAGAAAATTTTTCCAAAGACTGTAATTTCCAAAAATTCTCCTTTATGAAATTTTTGACTTTATCGACCACTTTCGAAAATTACCTAAATAGATATTTTCATAGATTTATTTCCCCTGAAGCGCTTTCTGGCTTCAGTTTTTCTAAAATGCTCACGATTTTTCGAAAACCGCCAAAAGAAAGTATTGCAATTTTTAAAAATTTTGAAAAATTTGAATTTGAATATTTCGAAAATTTTTATCGTGGACCACAAACACGCTAATTATTTTTGAATCACTACGTCGAGATCTACATCCCTGAATTTTTTGTGGATTTTCAGAAAATTTTTCCAAAGATTGTAATTTCCAAAACTTCTCCTTTATGAAACTTTTGACTTTATTCGACCACTTTCGAAAATTACCGAAATAGATATTTTAATAGATTTCTTTCTCCTCAAGCGCTTTCTGGCTTCAGTTTTTCGAAAATTCTTACGATTTTTCGAGAAACGCCAAAAGAAAGTATTGCAATTTTTAAAATTTTTGAAAAATTGGAATTTGAATATTTTGAAAATTTTTATCCTGGACCACAAATACGCTAATTATTTTTGAATCACTACGTCGACATCTACATCCCTGAATTTTTTGTGGATTTTCAGAAAATTTTTCCAAAGACTGTAATTTCCAAAAATTCTCCTTTATGAAATTTTTGACTTTATTCGACCACTTTCGAAAATTACCTAAATAGATATTTTCATAGATTTATTTCCCCTGAAGCGCTTTTTGGCTTCAGTTTTTCGAAAATTCTTACCATTTTTCGAGAAACGCCAAAAGAAAGTATTGCAATTTTTAGAATTCTTGAAAAATTGGAATTTGAATATTTCGAAAATTTTTATCCTGGACCACAAACACGCTAATTATTTTGGAATCACTACGTCGACATCTGCATCCCTAAATTTTTTGTGGATTTTCAGAAAATTTTTCCGAAGACTCTAATTTCCAAAAATTCTCCTTTATGAAATTTTTGACTTTATTCAACCACTTTCGAAAATTACTAATTATATTAAAAATTATTAATGTTTTCAGAATTTGTTAAATAAATCTACATTTCAAAGTTAGTTGAGCTGAAGTGTTGTTGTTTTTCTTTAAAACGTTTGTATTAATGTTAAAACATTTTTTTTTTTTTGTAAAATACTTGTTCAATTGTTTGGAAAAGTTGTAAATCAATACACCATGTGTTAAAATTGCGGTCACTTGATAGTCTTTGCAGAAATAGTTGTTGTTTACAGTTTTTGCCAACAAAATGCTTTTTCTTTGAAGTTTTCCTGTGTAACAAGTAATAACTGTAAAAAGTGCAGTAAATCATTGTTCTCATACTCTGCTACTCATACGTCAAACTCAAGTTGAACAAACTGTAACGCTACTTCCACACCACCGTTGCTTCAATTTATAAGCTTATAAGTGAGGCGGCGCACCACCTTGTCGCCCCAAAATCTCGCTTTCTCTTCACCAATTCCCGCGGTTTGCATCATCACCGAAAAATGGGACCAAATCGCAATCTCCCGCGAAAATCCATCTCGGTCACATTGTTCGGATTTCCCACACGAAAATCCACAAATCATACATCGCATCTGTCTATTTTAGAAACGCAACCTACTTAGAGTTTGTTGCTTCCGAAGACACTTAAATAGACTCACCGCGACTTTTTGAGGAATCGGCCTTTGACAACGTGCAATTTGCGCTCCTTCGCCGGTTCTTCGCGTTCCTCGAACCCTTGCACGAAGCACAACATCACAACAACGTTCACTACAGGGCCATGCTGGAAATTTTCGAAAAACGGCACTACGACATGGCGGCGGGCACGAGCGCGGGGGGCGGGCCGGCGGCGGCGGCGTGGGCGGCTGGAGGGCAGGTCGGGCACCGCTGACACATGGCAGGCGATCGCGAAGACCCAGCTCGAACGACGTGCTCGTGAATGACCGACTCCAGGACGACTGAACGGTACACGTCGCTAGGCGGATTTGCCGGACAGAGCCGGAATAAGAGGGAAAAGCCGCGGAGGATACGCGGAATCGCACGAGTTTTACTGCGACGGTGATGGTAAACTCGATTACCCAGCTGGGTGTCATGACGCATGGAATATTCTAATCAACTTTGTAACACTCAATTTGGCCCTAATTGCCCTAATTTAATTAAAAACAGTCATTTAATTAGTGGACACCAGAGTCAAACGTGCGAACTCTCTGCTAATCCATTGGAATAAAAATCCTCAAAGATGGTGATTTTGTGAATTTCCCTATTCATCACGCGTCTCCGCTTATCGATTACGCCACATGGAGGGTAGACTGTAATATTACGTCGATACGGCACTGTCTAGTGGGTTTCTCATGGCAACGAGTTCAGGAGTGACTCGTGCTGCAAAGTCTCCCCTTCTGCGGACAGGAAAGGTGAGACCACAAGAAAAAGAGCGCGAATAAATTAACTCTAATTGCATGTTTTGTTACATAAGCTCTGATGTAACGGCGGTGTCGTGTGAACTGGACGGCAAATTCGAAACGACGATATTGGGTCGAGAGAGCGGTTATTTGATTAGTGTGGGGCCCAATTTTTGTTGTTACGGCCCCCGTGTCTGCCATTTTTGAGATGACGTCATGATCTGTCAATCTGATGATAACGTCAAACGATGTTGTCACTCTGAAAGTTAGGTTATGATATTTTAATAAAACACCACAAGTCTTCAAGGTCTTCAAGATTGTTTTAAATTCTTGATAAAAAACACAAAGACACTAGAAGTACTTTTACTATGTAATTTTCAAAAGAAAACTTACGATTGTGTCAAATTAAAAAAAAAGATATTAGAAGTCTCCAAAATCCTTTATAATAAAAAAAAACTACCAGGATCCCAAAATTCTTGTAAAAAATATACACCAAGAGCCCCAAGATTCTGTCACACTAAAAAAAGACACAAGGAGTCACCAAGATCCTTTTAATTTTTCAAAAAAAAGACACCGAAGTCCAAAAATTCTTTTCACTTTTTTCAAAAGCAAAACATTAGGAGTTAGCCAGAGTTTAAAAAAAATTGACACCAAGGCCCCCGAAGATTCTATTAAATTCTTATACTTTTTTTAAGCAAAACACAAAATTCTTCCAAAAAGAAGACACTAGAACGGCAAGATTTTTTAAAACTAAAAAAGAAGCCCAAAGATTCTTTCCAGTTTTTCAAAAAAAAGTACCAAGTTCACAAAATTCTTTCAACATTTTCAAAATTCCATTAAGAAACCTTTGAAAAATTAAATATGTAGTTTTAAATTCTCAAAAAAAGACACCAGAGGTTCCAAGATTATTTCTTTATTTTTCAAAAACAAGACATCAGGGACCTATAAAATTCTTTCAAATTTTTAAGACTCTTCAGACTATTAAAATTCTTTTAAATTCGTAAAAAAAAGATACTAGTAACTCCAAGATTCGTTTAAATTCTTAAAAAGAAACACCAGAAGAGCAAACATTTTTGAAAGTCACTACAGGCCTAAACACTCTTTTAAATTCTTAAAAAACATACTAATTACTTCAAGATTCTGCTAAATTCTTAAAAAAAAGTAGACAGCGGTTCCAAGACTATTTTTTTTAACAAAACATCAAGGAACCGTAAAATTCTTTCAGTTTTTGAAAAAAAAGACTCCACAGACACCACATTTCTTTCAAATTTTTAGTAGTAACTCCAATTTTTTTTTAATTCTTATAAAAAAACACCAAAAGCACCAAAGCTCTTCAAAATTCTTTAAAAAATTGGACCCCAGGGACGAAAGATGGTGTGTTTTTTTCAAAAATAAAACACAAAAGGTTTTCAGAGTTTTTGTAAAATTTTTGTAAAAGCCATTACTGGTCTGAAAATTCTTTTGAATTCTAAACAAGGCACCAAGGGTTCCAAAGTTCTTTCAAATAAAAAAAAAGATACTAATAACTCCAAGATTTTTCCAAATTTCTTTCAAAAGACACTATGATCCTTTATAATTTTTCGAAAAAGAAAGAAACCCAAGATTCTTTCAATTCTTTTCAAAATAGGACACCAGGGGCCTCCAAAATTTTGTAAAACTGAAAAAAATATTAGGAATCTCGAAAGTCCTTTGTAAGTAAAAAAAAAATAATAAATAACACCAGGGTCCCAAAATTCTTTAAAAAAATACATATTCACCAAGAGGTCCCAAGATTCTTTCATACTAAAAAAAGACACTAGGAGTACCCAAGATCTTAATTTTTCAAAAAAAGTCATCGAAGTTTTTCAAAAACAAAACACCAGGAGTTACCAAGAGTTTTTTAAAAAATAGGCACCAAGGGCCCCGAAGTTTCTATTAAATTCTTATACTTTTTTTTAAGCAAAACACAGTGGCCCATAAAATTCTTCCAAAAAGAAGACACTAGAAAGCCAAGATTTTTTAAAACTAAAAAAGAAGCTCTAAGATTCTTTCCAATTTTTCAAAAAAAGGTAACAAGTTGACAAAATTCTTTCAACTTTTTCAAAATTCCATTAATAATCCTTTGAAAAATTAAATATGTAGTTTTAAATTCTCAAAAAAAAGACACCAGAGGTTCCAAGATTATTTCTTTATTTTTCAAAAACAAGACATTAGGGACCTGTAAAATTCTTTCAAATTTTTAAGACTCCACAGACTATCAAAATTCTTTTAAATTCGTAAAAAAAAAGATACTAGTAACTCCAAGATTCGTTTAAATTCTCAAAAAGAAACACCAGAAGAGCAAAAATATTTGAAATTTAAAAAATGGACCCTAGGGTCCGATTGATCGTTTTTTTTTCAAAAATAAAACACCAGGAGTCCCCAAGAATCTTTTAAAACTTTTGTAAAAGTCACTACAGGCCTAAACGTTCTTTTAAATTCTTAAAAAACATACTAATTACTCCAAGATTTTGCTAAATTCTTAAAAAAAAAGTAGACAGCGGTTCCAAGACTATTTTTTTTTTTAACAAAACATCAGGAAACTGTAAAATTCTTTCAGTTTTTGAAAAAAAAAAAGACTCCACAGACACCAAATTTCTTTCAAATTCTTACTAGTAACTCCAATTTTTTTTTTAAATTCTTAAAAAAAACACCAAAAGCACAAAAGCTCCTCAAAATTCTTGAAAAAATTGGACTCCAGAGACGCAAGAATGCGTGTTTTTTTCAAAAATAATACACAAAAGGTCTTCAGAATTCTTGTGAAATTTTTGTAAAAGCCATTAGAGGTCCGAAAATTCTTTTAAATTCTAAAAAAGGCACCAAGGGTTCCAAAATTCTTTCAAATTAAAAAAAAAGAAACTAATAACTCCAAGATTTTTCTAAATTTCTTTCAAAAGACACTAAGAAGCCTCCACGATCCTTTATAATTTTTCGAAAAAGAAAGAAATCCAAGATTCTTTCAATTTTTTTCAAAATGGGACACCAGGGGCTTCCAAAATTCTGTAAAACTGAAAAAAATATTAGGAGTCTCGAAAGTCCTTTGTAATTAAAAAAAAATATACCAGGGTCCCAAAATTCTTTAAAAAAATACATATACACCAAGGGGTTCCAAGATTCTTTCATACTAAAAAAAGACACTAGGAGCCCCCAAGATCCTAATTTTTCAAAAAGGTCATCGAAGTTTTTTCAAAAACAAAACACTACGAGTTACCAAGAGTTTTTAAAAAAATAGGCACCTAGGGCCCCGAAGATTCTATTAAATTCTTATACTTTTTTATAAGCAAAACACAATGGCCCATAAAATTCTTCCAAAAAGAAGACACTAGAACGCCAAGATTTTTTTAAACTAAAAAAGAAGCCCTAAGATTCTTTCCAATTTTTAAAAAAAAGGTACCAAGTTGACAAAATTCTTTCAACTTTTTCAAAATTCCATTAAGAATCCTTTGAAAAATTAAATATGTAGTTTTAAATTCTCAAAAAAAAGACACCAGAGGTTCCAAGATTATTTCTTTATTTTTCAAAAACAACACATCAGGGACCTGTAAAATTCTTTCAAATTTTTAAGACTCCACAGACTATTAAAATTCTTTAAATTCGATAAAAAAAGATACTAGTAACTCCAAGATTAGTTTAAATTCTTAAAAAGAAACACCAGAAGCCCAAAAATTTTTGAAATTTAAAAAAAAATGGACCCTAAGCCCCGATTGAATGTCTTTTGTTCAAAAATAAAACACCAGGAATCCCCAAAAATATTTTAAAACTTTTGTAAAAGTCACAACAGGCCTAAAAATTCTTTTAAATTCTTAAAAAACATACCAATTACAACAAGATTTTGCTAAATTCTTAAAAAAAAGTAAACAGCGGTTCTAAGACTATTTTTTTTTAACAAAACATCGGGGAACTGTAAAATTCTTTCAGTTTTTGAAAAAAAAAAAGACTCCACAGACACCAAATTTCTTTCAAATTCTTACTAGTAACTCCAAATTTTTTAATTCTTAAAAAAAACACCAAAACCGCAAAAGCTCCTCAAAATTCTTTAAAAAATTGGACTCCAGAGACGCAAGATTGCGTGTTTTTTTCAAAAATAATACACAAAAGGTCTTCAGAATTCTTGTGAAATTTTTGTAAAAGCCATTACAGGTCCGAAAATTCTTTTGAATTCTAAAAAAGGCACCAAGGGTTCCAAAATTCTTTCAAATAAAAAAAAAGATACTAATAACTCCAAGATTTTTCTAAATTTCTTTCAAAAGCACTAGAAGCCTCCATGATCCTTTATAATTTTTCGAAAAAGAAAGAAATCCAAGATTTTTTCAATTTTTTTCAAAATAGGACATCAGGGGGCTCCAAAATTTTATAAAACTGAAAAAAATATTAGGAGTGTCGAAAATCCTTCGTAATTAAAAAAAAAAATATATACCAGGGTCCCAAAATTCTTTAAAAAAATACATATACACCAAGAGGTCCCAAGATTCTTTCATACTAAAAAAGACACTAGAAGCCCCCAAGATCCTAATTTTTCAAAAAAAGTCATTGAAGTGTTTTCAAAAACAAAACACCACGAGTTACCAAGAGTTTTTTAAAAAATAGGCACCAAAGGCCCCGAAGATTCTATTAAATTCTTATACTTTTTAACAAAAACAAAACACAGTGGCCCATAAAATTCTTCCTAAAAGAAGACACTAGAACGCCAAGATTTTTTAAAACTAAAAAAGAAGCTCTAAGATTCTTTCCAATTTTTCAAAAAAAGGTACCAAGTTGACAAAATTCTTTCAACTTTTTCAAAATTCCATTAAGAATCCTTTGAAAAATTAAATATGTAGTTTTAAATTCTCAAAAAAAAAGACACCACAGGTTCCAAGATTATTTCTTTATTTTTCAAAAACAAGACATCAGGGACCTATAAAATTCTTTCAAATTTTTAAGACTCCACAGACTATTAAAATTGTTTTAAATTTGTAAAAAAAAGATACTAACTCCAAGATTCGTTTAAATTCTTACAAAGAAACACCAGATGAACAAAAATTTTTGAAATTAAAAAAAAATAACCCAGGCTCCGATTGATCGTCTTTTTTTTCAAAATTAAAACACCAGGAGTCCCCAAAAATCTTTTAAAACTTTTGTAAAAGTCACTACAGGCCTAAAAATTCTTTTAAACTCTTAA